CAAGAGAGGCGGCAGCTGATCTGAGGTTATCTAGAGGATCCAAAAAAGCTTATAAATATAAATAAAAAGTAATAAAATTAATAAATAAAAGAATATATAAAGTTAATAAGTAATAAATAAATAGATATATAAGTAATAAAATAAATAATTTTTTTAAAAAGGTATTTAAAAGGCTATAAGCCTTAGGTTTAGTATATAGCTTAATAATATATATATTATATTAGCCTTACTTAATTAATTAGTTTATAAGTATAAAAGACTATTTTTTATATAATAATAAAAAGAGAGAATTAATTTTTTTATACTATTTATTATTATATTATTAATAGCTTAAATTATTATTTTTATATACTTATTTATTTAATTAAATAAAATAGGTTTTTATAAGTTAGTTAGTTTTTTTTTAAAAAAATATTAAAAGTTTAATTTATAATTTAAATAATATATAAATTTTAATACTAGTTAAAAGTACTTTTATATAGTTTTTTATTTTTATTATAAATATATATTATTACTTTAATAAAAAAATACTTTTATTATTAAAGTATATATATTATATTTATTTTATTATTATATAAAATTATAAAAATATTAAAAAGCTAAATATAAAAACTTTTATATAAAATAAGTAATATATTATAAAAGTAGCTTAAGATTAAATACTTTTTTATATATTATTAATTAATTATAATAAAATATAGCTATATTACTTATTTTTTATTATTTAAAACTAGTTAAAAAAACCTTTAATATTTTTCTATAGTTTTTAAAATATATAGCTAGTTATAAATATATATAAACTAAGGCTTTATAAAGGCTTATAAAATTAAAATTTATATACTAAAGCTTTAATATTAAGTAATAAAGGTATATAGCTATTTATAAAAGAACTAATATACTACTATTAAAAAACACTAGTAAGTACTTACTTATGTATTATTAACTACTTTAGCTAACTTCTGCAGTACTACCTAAGAGGCTAGGGGTAGTTTTATAGCAGACTTATAGCTATTATTTTTATTTAGTAAAGTGCTTTTAAAGTAAGGTCTTTTTTATAGCACTTTTTATTTATTATAATATATATTATATAATAATTTTAAGCCTGGAATAGTAAAGAGGCTTATATAATAATTTATAGTAATAAAAGCTTAGCAGCTGTAATATAATTCCTAAAGAAACAGCATGAAATGGTATTATGTAAGAGCTATAGTCTAAAGGCACTCTGCTGGATAAAAATAGTGGCTATAAGTCTGCTGCAAAACTACCCCCAACCTCGTAGGTATATAAGTACTGTTTGATGGTAGTCTATCGCCTTCGGGCATTTGGTCAATTTATAACGATACAGGTTCGTTTCGGCTTTTCCTCGGAACCCCCAGAGGTCATCAGTTCGAATCGCTAACAGGTCAACAGAGAAGATTAGCATGGCCCCTGCACTAAGGATGACACGCTCACTCAAAGAGAAGCTAAACATTTTTTTTCTCTTCCAAGTCGTGATGGTTATCTTTTTGCTTAGAGAATCTATTCTTGTGGACGATTAGTATTGGTAAATCCCTGCTGCACATTGCGGCGGATGGTCTCAACGGCATAATACCCCATTCGTGATGCAGCGGTGATCTTCAATATGTAGTGTAATACGTTGCATACACCACCAGGTTCGGTGCCTCCTGTATGTACAGTACTGTAGTTCGACTCCTCCGCGCAGGTGGAAACGATTCCCTAGTGGGCAGGTATTTTGGCGGGGTCAAGAATCCGACCCCTCCTCGGCAGCCCGTCTTCGTCTCCGCGCGTGCGAGGAGGATCAACACCGCCCTCACATCCGATGTTTAGGCCTCTCGTAGCAGCAGCTCCGAGTCTTGCCTCTAGATTACTGCGGACGTCACCGGGTCGATCCATCAGCCGCCTCGCAACCGTAGCCATGGGCAAAGCAAACACAACGCAGAAGCTTGCCAAGCTACGGGCCCTGATGAAGGAGCACAACGTCCAAGTATACGGTATAACAGCTTGCCGTCCATTGCATTGCGCAGCGCAGCTGACATCAGTGCCTCCACAGTCGTGCCCTCCGAAGACAGCCACAGCTCCGAGTACATTGCCGCATGCGACGCTCGGCGAGAATTCATCAGCGGCTTCACGGGCTCTGCTGGTTGCGCAGTCATCACGGAGACTGCTGCCGCTCTGGCGACGGACGGCCGTTACTTCAACCAGGCTACCCAGCAGCTGGACGACAACTGGACGCTGCTGAAGCAAGGGCTTCAGGACGTTCCCACGTGGCAAGAATGGGCGGCTGAGCAGGCGGCCGGGGGCAAGACGGTTGCCGTGGACTCGACCTTGGTCACGGCCTCTATAGCGAAGAAGCTTGCGGAGAAGATTCGCAAAAGCGGCGGCTCCGACCTGGTGCCCCTCGACATCAACCTGGTGGATGCCGTTTGGGCCGAGGACAGGCCTGCGCGACCTCAGCAGCGCATCACCGTGCTGTCTGACAAGTTCGCCGGCAAGTCCGTCCAGAGCAAGTTGTCCGACGTCTTCTCTGAGCTTGAGAAGAAGCGATCGCCGGGACTTTTCATTTCCATGCTTGACGAGGTGGCGTGGCTATTCAACCTCCGCGGTAGCGACATTCCTTACAACCCAGTCTTCTTCTCATACGCTGTGATCACGCCAAAGGGAGCGGCCCTGTACGTTGACGAATCAAAGCTGGACGAGGAGTGCAGGGAGCACTTGAACAAGTGCAATGTGGCCATCAAGCCATACGAGAGCTTTTTTCGCGATGCGGAACTTCACCACCAGCAGTTTGTTGCCTCCGCCCAGAGTGCAGAGGGGGCGAGCCCATCAGGCAGCTTCCTCATGTCGAACAAGGGTTCCTGGGCCTTGAAGAGGGCGCTGGGAGGAGACGGCGCAGTCGAGGAGATCCGCAGCCCTGTTGGAGACGCCAAAGCCATCAAGAACGAGACCGAAATGGAGGGGATGCGGGCGTGCCATATCAGAGACGGTGCCGCTCTGATCGAGTACTTTGCCTGGCTTGAAGACCAGCTCATCAACAAAAAGACTGTGCTGGACGAAGTACAAGCTGCCGATAAACTGGAAGAATTGCGATCCAAGCACGAGCACTTTGTCGGCCTTTCATTCCCAACCATTTCATCAACGGGTGCCAAGTATGTTTGACTACCTAATATTTCCCATGCCCCTTTCTTTCAGCGTAGCCTCGCCGCGGATGGCGTTACTGACAGGACTTCACAGCGCGGCAGTTATCCATTACGGCCCCGAGCGTGGAAACTGCGCTGTTATTGACCCCGAAGCCATATATCTGTGTGATTCAGGAGCACAGTACTTGGATGGCACCACTGACACGACACGGACCTTGCACTTTGGAGAGCCATCGGAGGCCGAGAGGGAAGCTTACACACTTGTTCTGAAAGGAAACATAGCCCTGGACGTGGCCATTTTCCCAAAGGGGACGACTGGCTTTGCTCTCGATGCTCTGGCCAGGCAACATCTCTGGGTGAGTTCCTGAACCTGAAGTTTGTGCGCCCCGGCTAACCCGCAGCAGAAAACCGGATTGGACTACCGACATGGCACTGGCCACGGCGTTGGATCTTTCCTGAACGTCCACGAGGGCCCGATCGGCATCGGCACCCGAATTCAGTACACCGAAGTCCCGTTGGCGCCTGGCAATGTCATCTCGAATGAGCCGGGATACTATGAGGATGGGCGCTTCGGCATTCGAATTGAGAACATCGTCATGGTCAAAGAGGTGAAGACGAAATATGCCTTTGGCGACAAGCCATTCCTGGGATTTGAGCATGTGACAATGGTCCCCTATTGCAGGAACCTGATCAACGAGAGCATGCTTTCGGAGGCTGAAAAGACTTGGCTGAACACCTCCAACGCAGAGATACTGGAGAAGACCAAGGGATTCTTCGAGGGTGATGCTCTCACGATGGCCTGGCTGACACGGGAGACTCGGCCGATCGAATGAGGGTAGTCACCTGAACGGAAGCCGCCAAAGACACAAAGAAGAAGACAAAGACAGATGCATTCCATCTCAGAGGCGGGCAAACGCTGCCAAGATGAAGGTCAAGCTGAAGGATGCTACGAACCAACCATTTCCCGTGCCAACCTTCAAAGAAGGGAACGTGTCCGTGAGAAACCTGTGAGAAGAGACGATGCTCGGCAGACCTAGCCCATATGAGGCGGCGAGCTTGTTTTGAGTCGAGAGACGTTAGAGGAAGGGACATTCCGTAAGAACTAATATGCGTGTGCACATACCTGGTAAAATGCCGCCAACACTCCGCCGATGAATACAAGAGTGCGTGAGAAGACGGAGACGACCAGCCCGGTGCCAAATCCTGTACGAGGGATCATGGTCAGTTGGCCGTTCTTTCGAGATTTGCGAAAGACATTGAAGTATATGAGCGCCTGCTTAGCTGACCAATGATACTGCCTGCAGATACTTGCTGGATAATGCGAGGAGAGAGCAGCTGTTCGCGGGCGGCGTCTGCAGGCTGACTTTGTGTTTGCGGCGCCTTTTGGCGAGAGTCGAACCGAACGGTGGAATTGGCTGCAAAGGCGCCGTAACAGACGCTGGTTCCAATGCCTCCGAGGAGGAGCCTCCTGGAATGACGAAAGATGGGGATATGCCGCATTGCTCTTTTGAACGGCTGCTCTGCGGTGCTCTGTCGAGTGCAGAAAAGGAGCATGGAGGATTGAAGACTATAGGCTAGACGCATGAAGTGTGTACGGAATACAGTAAGTACAGTAGGAGGAATATGCTGGTGGATCTATGATGTAGTGCAGCGGATAGCTGTTGAGAGGCTGGCGTGGGGTAATTGGAGAAGCCCAAGCTCAAGTGCATGGGGTCTGTCTACCTTACCTTAGTAGGTACCTACTACTACCCCTGGAGCTACTAATCAATGGTCATTGCCTGTTCAAGACGTACTACCACCTACCGAGTACATTGAGAGGTATGAAGATTGATAGAGGCATTGTTGGGTGGATGTATCAAGACAGGAGAGAGGATAATGCGCAACTTCGAGGCATCACCGAAGCCTTGGTTTGATACTTTGATACTTTGCATCGTTGCCGCGTTCTCAATACAAGGAAAGACACAGGCGGGACGGTTCCGCCAAACCTGGAGCCATCTCCGAACACGTACCGAGCATTACTAGGTACCTACCTAGTACTAGATACTCTAATACCTAGTAGTACTCTGTAGCAGCAGAACCAATGATGTGAAGCTCTTTGGTCATGCCCACCTGATGTGAGGTAGGCACGTACTGATGTACCTTACTTAGTATGCTTTATTACCTGTAGGTACATAGATGTTAATTGTCCGGCTTTACTCCGATGACACCAGCTTGAATCGCGCAACTCTTCCTCTAGGGCTTATTTCTCGTCATTGTGAGAGCGAGCTGGTGGGGTCAAAGCTGATGTTAATATATAGCCAGGACGGGATTGCATGCTGGAGTAGCCTGGATTTGCAAGTGGCATTAGTACGATCTTTTTGTATAGCAAGGTAAGTAAGAGGTAGAGAATTAACAAGTAGTAGTACAAGTAGTTCGCCGACAAGGTTGGAGGCTGCAAGTTCCATGTAAGCCACCTCGTGCCTAGGGCGAGGCTCCAATCAGGGCGCCATAGAATGAGCACGTTGATAAGCGAAATCTTTCATCATTCCGCGTCTCCGATCCATCCCCGTCGAGGTCATTTTCTTGCTGAGCTGCATGCACTCAACCAAGCATGAGGGACATGGTACCCTACCGACAACTCGGTAAGGTATGATACAGTAAGCTCTACCTGGAGGGGGGCGTCAGGCGGGGTGGGGCGCTGGGCTTCGATCTCACCTTGAATCCGTCTTTTTTTTCCCCCAAAGTTGTCCCTCTGGGTAATAGTGCTACTATAAGTAGCGAGGCTCGCATCACGTCTTCGCCATGGCGCTGCCCTGTCATCCCTCCCAAACCCCCGTTACAGCGTCCCGTATCCCGTAGACGACGACGAAGAAGCAGCCGCTCAAGATGAAGGCATACATGTACGACAACCTGCCGGTAAGCTCTCCCTCGCCCAACCACCAGCCGGGGCGTGTCAACGACAGCAGTCGGCGTCCGTATCAGCAAGCGTCATCAGACTCGAACGTCGTCATCTAACGTGGGAAATTGGAAAACCGCCAGGGCGACCAGCGTCTGCCCCACGACTCCGGCCGCCAGGTAACCGCAGAGGACCTGGCCAGCCTCGGCGTGCTGTACCACCGCTTTCCCGAGACGAGCGACGTCGATGCCCTGGCCGCTGAGCGCGGGTACAGAAACCGCGACGAGATTGTCGTCTCGCCAGACAAGATGGGCGACGTGTACGAGGACAAGGTCAAGTCCTTCTTCAACGAGCACCTGCACGAGGACGAGGAGATTCGATACATCCGCGGCGGCCAGGGCTACTTTGACGTGCGCAACAAGGGCGACGAGTGGGTGCGCATCCAGCTGGAGAAGGACGACCTCATCATCCTGCCCGCGGGCATCTTTCACCGATTCACCACAGACGAGTCCAACGTGAGTCCCTTCCTTGCTGCTGGGGCTACATCGCCTGTTCCGGTCCTATGAAGCTGTTTGCTGCTTGAGTAGTGATAGTGATCTTGGAGCTGAGCAAATCCCAACCGCTGCGTAATCTCTTGACTAACTCATTGGAAATCCCAGTACGTTCATGCCATGAGACTCTTCAAGGATGAGCCTAAGTGGACGCCTTTGAACCGCGCTCCGGAGCTGGATAGCAACAACTACCGTAAGGAATATGTCAGCCAGTACCTCAACTAAGTTCAACAGCTCGGCGGCCCTGGACTGCAATAAAATGAAGAAATAGGAAAACAAACAAAAAATCAAGTAAAATTGGATACTCGTACACCGAAACAAGTGCCTCCCTTGGACCCCCAAAAGTTTAGAGTAGCAGTATTCTAGATGTGTAATAGATGAGAAATGTTTTGGCACTCGCTTGGTCATCCTGACTTGCTGCCAGCGCACTGAGATGCAGCCGAGCCAAAATCCCAAACATAAAAAAGTCACTAATGAACCTCACCCCAAACCAACCACCAACACCATGCCACCAGTGGCAACGGCAAAGATGTCCCAAAACGATCTCGCCTGCATCAAGGCGCCCAGAGAAACCGGGCACAAGGAGGACGGCGAGATTTCGCGGCTGATCCGAACATCCAATTCCCTGGTCATGTTCCTATCAAGACGAGATGGCTGCAACTTTGCATCTCAGCCCCAACCGCCTCGATGAATTCCACCGGCACTCGCATTGGACGCCTCATTTGACTGGGAGGCGACTGGGCCCGAATAATTCACACGGTACTTTTGTAATCGCTGTATAGCCTCTCCATTCGCCTGCCCTCGTGAGAGGCGAAGAGAATTAAAACTCTCCTCTTAACTTGACCTGTATTTGGATTTGGGTTTGTTGGACGAGCAGTCGGGAATCAAGATGGAGACTCGCAGCGAGTCGAGCGAAGGGCCGCCTCGGCCGCGGCTGCATCTGCCCGCAAGCTGCGATCCGCCTGCGCCCAACGGACCGACGAAGCAGCTTGTTTGGATTGTTCGTCTTTTCCCTTGCTTGATACATGATGGGGAGGGAATCTATGCTGACAGCTTCACTCCTCTGGGGGGGTGGGTGCAGATCTTTGGCGGCACCGGCCACATGGGCCGCTCCCTCGTCAAGAGCGCCCTCTCGCACGGCGACCTCGTCGCCTCCGTCGGCCGCGTCTTCGAGACGCCGCTCGAGGACATGCAGGGCATCCACGACAACTGCCTGGGCCTGCTGTGCGACGTGCGCTCGCGCGACTCGGTCGCCCGCGTGTTCCAGCAGGCCATGGACCGCTTCGGCCGCGTCGACGTCGTCGCCAACTGCTCGGGCTACGGCGTCATCGGCGCCTGCGAGGACCAGGACGAGCACGACGTGCGCAACCAGTTCGAGACCAACTTCATGGGCACGCTGCACATCATCCACGCCACGCTGCCCTACTTCCGCCGCCAGCAGGCCGGCCGCTACCTCATCTTCAGCTCGACGTCGGGCGCCCTGGGCGTCCCCGGCCTGGGCCCCTACTGCGCCTCCAAGTACGCCGTCGAGGGCCTCATCGAGGCGCTGCTGTACGAGACGGACGCCTTCCACGTCAAGGCGACGCTCATCGAGCCCGGCCTGGTGCGCCGCGACGAGCCCGACTCGGACACCAACCCGCTGCCCACCTGGGGCCACTTCTTCATCAAGCCGCCCAGCGAGCACTACTCGACCGCGACGTCGCCCGCCCTTCACGCCAAGCGCATGGTGCAGTGGCTGGGCGACCGCCAGCCCACCAGCGCCGTCAAGTGCGCCGAGCTGGTCTGGCAGCTGGGCCACTGCTCATACCCGCCGCTGCGGCTGCTGCTGGGCAGCTACGCCATTGAGAGCATCAGGGACCGCATGCGATCCGTGACGGAGGAGCTCGAGGATTGGAAGCATCTCAACTTTGCCTCGGTGCCCGATTCAGACCAGGGCAATGACGAGATGGAGGTCACTGCCGACGCTGCGGCCGTGTAGGCTCTGGTCTGTCTATTGTGTGATGATACTCTGACATGTTGTTGTCGAGCCTCGATTGGTTGCATGACTTGCCTTGCTTTTGCTGTTGCATTTCTATCTAACGATACCTACCTACCTGTCTGTTTGTCTCCCTTTGGAATATCTAGTCTGTCATTCAAACATTTGAATATGTAGTAAAAAAAACGCTTCTATATAAAAAGGCTTGCTTGACGCAGCTGTAAATATACCTCCGAAGCCAAAGAATGTCTCCAATTTTTCCCATAGTAGGTAGGAGTAGTAGTAGTAGTACCGTCAATTCCCAGCTGTAAACCCACTAGCGCCAATATGGATCTTCCAGAAGTGCTTCAAATCATGCAATGATACTCTCTTTTTCATCTCATCAATTTCCACTTGTTCAAGCTATTTCACTGCTATACAGCACATAGACCACCCAACAGGGCAACAGAGCAGACACGTAAAGCCAAAAGAGAAAGGCTCAAGCCAAGCACACAGGACAGGCAATTTGAAAGAAAGCTTCTGCTGGGCATACCTTAGGATGAGATGCAGCGCCTGGCCGTAGCAGCAACAAAGCAGGCCGTCGCCCAGCCTCGCGTCGTCTTCTCCGGCATCCAGCCCACCGGCGTGCCGCACCTGGGCAACTACGTCGGCGCCCTGCGGCAGTGGGTGAAGCTCCAGCGCGACGAGCAGCCGTCGACGAGGCTCATCTACTCCATCGTCGACCTCCACGCCATCACCGTGCCGCAGCCGCCCGAGACGCTGAGGCGGCGCAAGAGAGAGGTCCTGGCCGCCCTGCTGGCCATTGGCCTCGATCCCGAGAGATGCACCATCTTCTATCAGTCTTCCGTGTGTTCTTCTCCTTTCCCCTCCCCCTCAGCCAGCCTGAGCTCACTTCCCCGCAAAGCAAACCTCATGAACTGAAACGCCGCCTGTAGGTACCGGCTCACTCCGAGCTCATGTGGATCCTTGCCTGTACGGCATCCGTAGGATATCTGTCGAGGATGACACAGTGGAAGGTAGATCTAGACACTCGCAACCCCCCCTAGCTGCTGTGGAAAGACAAGCAGACCAAGTTGCCAACGTTGACATGCCCTCAGAGCAAACTCAGTCTGGCCTCGTCCTCGACGCTGGAGAATAAGTCTGTCGGGTCCAAGCTGAAGCTGGGCTTGTTCTCATACCCCGTGCTCCAAGCTGCTGATATCCTCGTCCACCGGTAAGGCCCCCTTATTGTTGCAATGTGTGGTTGTCCTACGCAACAACAAATCAGAGACACGAACAACCAGATCAGTGGCTGATGAGCCCCCACCCCAAGGGCAACTCATGTGCCTGTCGGACATGACCAGCAGCAACATCTGGAGTTTGCGCGTGAATGTGTCACAAACTTCAACCATGCATACGGGAGCCACCTCGTCCATCCCGAGACAATCGTTTGTATGCTTGCCGTCTCCCAACAACCCTCTTCCTCCCTTCTCTTATCCGCAGCCAGCTCACTCAAACAACAGCCCCCGTCCAGCGCATCATGTCCCTGACGGAGCCCACAAGTAAAATGTCAAAGTCTCACCCGGCGCAGCGGTCGAGGATTCTCATCACCGACACGCCGCAAGAGATCCGCTCCAAGATCGCCACCGCCCTGACGGACTCGACTCCCGGCATCTCCTATGACCCCGCCACGCGCCCGGGCATCTCCAACTTGTTGGAGATCCTCTCCGTCTTTGACCCAGAAGGGCGCACCCCGGCCCAGCTGGCTCAGGAGTTCGCCGAAGCGTCGCCCAAGGTCTTCAAAGAAGCCGTCGCAGACGCGCTGGTGACTGGGTTACACGGCATCCGGGACCGTTATCTCGAGCTCAGTGCAGACGATTCGTACCTTGACAGGATAGAGCAGCATGGCGCGCAAAAGGCTCAGAGAAGCGCAGAGGAGACAATGGACATCGTAAAGGCGGCGGTCGGTCTGTAGCGAGTGTTTTGCGGGAATTGGCGTCTTCCATTTTGGCCTTGGCGTGGAAGCACCGATAGAGGCATGTATGTGCATGTGCATGTGTATGTGTATGGGTATGTGTATGATAGAAGTCGCCAACCGCGGCCAGCCACTCTTCGGCAAAAACATCGCTTGGGCAACATGCGGCCGCAAATCTCTATGCTATGGTGTAGACAACCCCCCTTCCCTGTCACTGCCTTCTGTGTGCCAGGGCGCATTAACATAGTTCAGGTCATGGTCGATCATGATGCGTAGGCGAAGTTGGCACCTCTGGCAGATAGCCAGAATTCTCTAACGACTTGGTTTGTCGTTCGGGATCCTCTGAGACTACATGATGTGTCAGTGCGGTGTTCGTGAAGCACCCTCATGATAGGAGCGTACCTGATGATCTTCTTCACAAAGAGCGACTTCTGCTCTGCATCGACCTTCTGGCTCGGGAAGGAAGGATGGTCTAGCCCAGACTGCAGCCATTCCTTTGCCGCTGGATATCTGCTGACGAGCTTCCTCAGCGGTTCGCATAGCCGATCCAGCTCGCTACGCAGGGCATTGCCCCCAATGTTCCTGGCAAGGGACTGGGCCAGCAGCGGCCCGAGCATGTCCATGGCCCTCTTGAAGGTTTCCTGGAGCTCTGGCTCATCTGCCCGGGTACCGACAAACGCAGTCTATCAGACACGTTAGCTTCAACTGCAAGATACCGCTATGATGTAACGTAGAGGCCATTGTTGCTCACCCAAAACTCCGCAGCGGCCGCCTTGGGCAAGGGTTCCTTTCCGTCCAACACCTGAAGTGTGAAGAGGAAGAAGAACTCGATTGCGTCCGATGGTTCCAGCCCAATGAAGGTCGCCGGGCTCCTTGTCAGTAGCCGGCTGACGAGATCGATTCCATTTTGCACGAGTTCTGGTTCCGCCCCTGGTTCTGCCCTCATGTGTTAAATGGGGGTCATTCGAAATAACGTTACCAAGGAATCTATGGTATCTTACCAGGGAGCTGCTTCAATAACCCAATCACCCAAACCAGCACGTCCGAGAGTATTTTGCGATACTGTCCCAATTTGTGAGGAGATAGAGAACTGACGAAAGAGCACGCCATACTGACGATGACCCCGATCCTGGGCGTGTCTTTTGAATGTCCCACCAAAAAGCCTACTATATCCTCGGGAGTCAGGACAAACGGCCCCGGCTCGCTTTCAGAGAAGCCGCTGCGAAGCACGCTGCATATCAGTTCTGTAACTTCCGAGCTGCCACTGTACACATTTTGGACATCAATGATGATGCCTATCACTTGCTTCTGGAGTTCGGCCAGCTTGGGCGTTTGTGTCTTTTGAGGAGACACAGCTTCGAGGTCAATGGCCAAGTCCGGAGGGGACTGCAAACCTTTTCCCATGCTTGCGAGACATCTCAATGCCCTGAGGCCCACGTGCAAGCCAACATGTTCTTCCGGCGCGATGTCCGTGCAGGGACTCTCCATCTGCGGTGGCAGTGCTTCGTCATTCGGAACATTTGCCAGCTCCAAGGATTTCCGCACGTCGTCTTGGATGAAAGCAAGCAGCCGTGAGCAGGCGTCGTACCGCTCATCATCCACTGGAATGGCTTGTGCAATGGCTGCAAGAGCACCTATAATTTTCTCGCGGGATATGCAATCTAGTGACGCCGTAGTCACCAATTTCCGATACTCAGCTAGAAGGTTATCCATCTCAGGATAGAGATGTGAGCGACAAGATGAGCAAAGGCGATGAATGGACTTCGATGCTGGTATGGCCATAGAGTGATCCGGGACCTCGTTGAATAAGAGACCTAGCGCGGTAGGAAGAAGGTGAGTGTTCCTTTCAAAGTATTCCGTGTATTGTTCGATCAGGGTGAGGCAAGTCTGCCTTACTCGAGCTGGGACATGTTCCTGGCCGCTCTGCAGCACCGAGAACAATGGCGACGAGAAGACGGCGGCAAGGGAGCCATCGCAGCGCGCATCTTCCCGGCTGCAGTCAGCCAAGCCCCCCAGACAGAATATCGCCGCCTCCAGCTCCAGCCAGGCCGAATTACTCAGCGTGGTCAATATCAGGGAAGAAAATGTCTCGACGAGCTTTGGGCCGATCAAGACGTAGACGGCTTGCAAAAAGTCCACAACATCTTTCCGGGCGTCGTTGAACCCAACACGATCGCCAGAGTCCCATGAGTGAAATTCCTCTGCTGGAGGGTATATGATCTTCTTCCAAGCGTGTGACGTTGCTTCGAAGATGAACGAGACTGTAAACGCAGATTCCACATCCATATCCGACACAGACTCCGTGAACGTTGACCAAAACTCAATGGCGGGGACAAATATCTTGTCCTCAGCAACGGGGTAGCCATCCGCCGCTAGGAGACCACATAGCCTTGAAAGTATGCTTCTGTTTTGGTCGTTCTCATCTTCTATCAGAGCTTGCATCTTGGCCTCGCCGTATGCGAGGAGCACGTATCCGAGCTGCGTCGATTCGAAGTCAAAATCACCTTGAATCAGCAGGTCGTATCGGTTTTGAAACCACGGCGTATCAAACATGTTGGAGAGCATCGTGTAGTGCTGCTCAGTCAACAAGGAAGGCCAGTTGAAGAGTACGTCGACAAGGAGTTCCGCGGCTGCGTTGTACAATTCTTCAACCATCAGGGCATTGATAGAGCCTCCAATAAGGGGGCGCAGCGAGTCGGCAATGTAGCTGTTCCGCGCTGATGTCTTTTGAGCAAAGGAGACCCAGGACTTGAGGGCGCCCATCAGCTTTCCTGCATCGTGTACCACCATTTGAAATCGCATTGAAGTCACTTACCTGAAGACACCTCAATGCGTCTTGTTTGACCTCTGGAGAAGCATCGTCTCGGCTCATGCACATGGCTATGAGAGTGACCGAGTCCGACGTGTTGGCAAGCACTGAATCGTAGAGCCCAACACTTGTTCAAGTTAGTGATGCTGCAGCACAGCTACCACGAGAGAGGGGCGTCTCATACTTGCTTGGTGCATTCAGGTCAATGCGAGTGACATCTTCGAGAATGTTGCTTATAACCAGAATAGCCGCGTGCAGATGAACACCTGAAAGTCTCTCGAAAATGGCGTTGAAGTCGACTGATTCGTCGATTGCACCCGGTTGCCAGGCCCGATTGGATGCGAGACAAACCAGGAGGTGAAAAACAAAGCGGCTACATAGCCTGTGGAAGTACACAAAGTACGTGGATAAGGCAGACGAAAGCTTCCGCACAACGAGCAATCCGGTCTTCTGTTGGAGAGAGCCCATGTACCACTCCAACAGTGAGACAAGAAGCTCTATGGCATCGGCGTCGGAAAGAGATGCACTGGTCAACCAACGTCAGAGCTCGGCGCGCAGCAGTGCTGATGGGGGGAAAGCGTACTTTTCAGTGTTGAGCTTCACAATGATGGTGAGGGCGCCAAAGAACTTGACCTTGTCATCTGGGCGCCCAAGCAGGTGGTGAGCAAGCGTCCATGCCTGTGGTGAGCTCTGGAGCCGTGAGAGCGTTGACTGGGTCTTGGCGATTGTGCTGGGGGAAGCTGGTTCATAGAGAGAAAGAATCAGCTTCGTCACAATTAGCAGTGAAGCTTTCAAGGGCCGTTTTGCATCCCGCCAGACTCTCGTGGTGCCACTTACCGATTCAACTTGCTCAACCTCGGAGGGAAGAAGCTCATCTTGCATTGTGGCGGCTTCGAACGGAGATCAGTTCCACGCGGTTCATCAGGTCACAATTGGTCCGCTAGTAGCACCAAGATCTCATGGCGGAAGTGACGTTGGCCAGAATTAAAAGAAGATGGGCTATATATCAGCTGGTGCGAGACCTGAACATGGCAGTAGGTATTCCAGCACAAAGAGAAACTTGCTCTCTATCAGGAGCTCACTCTCATGAGCTCGTCGTCACATGTAGCCCAGTCGATATTTCCCATCTGCTCCACATAATCGATAAGGAATGATTACATAACTTTGTATGTCGACACTTCTAGCTTATTTGGCCCTTAAAATGTGTTGGAAGTGACGATACTGTTTGTTGTCTTTATAGTAAGATTCGCAATTCTTAGTATTCCATGTCCTGAGATTTGAAATGGTAGATACAACAAGTATTGACGGTCTAGTACTTTCTTATGATCGAATATTTATTCATTTCTCATGTGGATGACTGCTTTGTTCGTCAGATGTACTTCGCTGCATTAGTAGAGAACGTACACTTTGGAGTTCTATATACATGATGATAGGCTTGCATTGAAACCTAGTGAACTGTCTTCATACAGCCGTAGAAATGGAAATTGAGAGAAGAAAAAGAAAAAGAGACGCTCTCATTCTCAATTGCTAGAACACATTGACGGCAGCGACATCTCTTCCTGCCGCACCCACGATGTCGTTGACATCCGTGACGGAATCATCCTCCGACCTGCGGCCTTCAAACAAGCGCCTCCACCAGCCTGGGGGGTCCAAGGGCCTGGAACCATTGTGCAAGGGTGGATACACGTCGTTGAAAAAGTACCAGATGTGACCGATCACGACGCCCATGATCTCATCCCTCGGTACGGTACCGTGCATGAACAGGCTAAAGGCCATCAGCACCCATGGCAGGTACGGCGCCGTGAAAACCAGCAGTCCAAGGAAACTAAGCCTGGTGTCGGGGTTGCGGCGAGACCAAATGTAAACGAGGGTGGAAGACAGCGGGTGGCCGAGGAACGGCATCGAAACCAGCGGCGACAGTACAATCAGGCTCGCCATGGCATAGACGAGAAGCCAAGAGAAGTATGCGGCCGATCTCCCGGACGATTCCTCCAGCAGCCGTGCGTAGCGTTGTAGGAAGTATATGTGGAAGAGGAGGTCGAGCGAGAACGGGCCGAAGTAGAGAAACGTCGTCAACAGTCGCCAGTACTACATCGAGAGCAGCCGTTAGCACGGGCTATGCGCAGCAACGTATGGTGGGAGGCTCAACCAACCTGTGACTTGATGAAGACGGCTCTGAAGCTATAGAATAGCTGGAATGGAGTCACCATGTGGCACTGGACGAGGGCGCTCGTCAGCACCGTCGCGGCCGTCCACCACCGCGTGCAGGTGGGCATCTCCCAGAACCATGTTTCCAGCGGGAGGCGATCGCCGCCCAGGACCTGATCCATCTAGGCAACGGCAGCGGCTGCAATGACTGCGAGGATCATGCGCTGAAGGAGAGAGGAACAGACGGCCTCGATGGATGTCGGTAGCCTCGTGGGCGATGTGGTTGTTGGGCGCAAACTCGATAACCGCTGAGGTGGCCTTTCGCAGACACGACACAATGTAAGCCGCCTGCAGGTGAATCTGGAAGGTACAGTTAGTTCTACTATGTGTGACCTGCACTTGGTAATTACCTGCCATGCAATGTCACGTCATGCTGCACCATGGCCACTTCCGTATCGATAGCGCATTACTAAGGCTCAAGGTCCACAATGATGGAATGAATGCCTCTGATAAACCTATCTGGACAAGTAGACAACTTGGAGTAAAGCAGGTTGTAATATTAATGATCCTGATATCAAGAGTCAATACATGCTCTCGACATTCTATGCGCTAGGGAAGGAGATTATATCACTTTGAAATCATCATAGATTAGACAGATGCTTGCTTCTGTATAAAAACAGTAAAGGCCCATCTGTCACGAATTTAGTGAATCAGGGACCACCGCATTGCACCCCCAAGACCCCGAATAATACTGCGGAGAAGGCGCTTCGTCCCCAATACTAGTACCGAAATACTTCGCAGACCACATGGACTCCATTGTTCCATTCTGGTGACACCGTCACCTCTTTTGCCTTGGACAACTTCCAAGAGCCCTCTCCCATCAATGACTTGCCATCCAAATGACCATGATCCTCCCCTCGTGTATCTGGCACGGCGGCTTTCTCCTCCCCCTCCTCCTCCTCCTGCTGTCAAGCAACCTTGTGCAGGCTGACGTGAAGCCCTCCGCCCAAAGTGCGCCTGGCCAATGCGACGTCCGCACCATCAACTACATTACACACTCGCTGCCGTCGCTCTGCTTCAAGAGCTCATGGACGGATTCAGTACCGACATCGACCGCGTCGCCGGCCACAGTAATTGACGACGACTACGATGATGCCACGCAGCACGTTACGCGATCCGCCGCAGAGGAGGAGCAGGCTTCGCCGTCCGCCACATCGCCTACGGACACGCTGGCAAAGACGCCGCCCGCAAGCGACACCTCGGCGACGCCCTTCATGTCGTTTGAAGACTGGAAGGAGATGATGCTCAAGGAAACCGGGCAGGATCCCCAAGACCTGCATCTTCGCAACTCGAGCGGGCGCCAGAAAGGCGACAGGCCGTCTCCCGACGTGGACGAGGCCTTGGGCGAGGAAGGGGAAATATCCCTAACGTTTGACTACGGCGAGGGCGATGGCATTCGAACCGGAACCTATGCGGACTCTGCGACTTCGAATACCGGCGACGACGCCGACGAGGCTTTGGTGTCCAAGGACGGCAAAGCGCCCATCCACCGGAGCAAGGACGCAGGCAAGACCTGCAAGGAACGCTTCTCGTACTCTTCCTTCGATGCAGGCGCCACCATCCTCAAGGCGGGGCCGCAAGCCAAGAACGCGAAAGCGATCCTGGTGGAAAACAAGGACTCTTACATGTTGCTCGAATGTGCGGCGCAAAACAAGTACGTTATCGTCGAGCTGAGCGACGACATCCTCATCGACACCATTGTCATTGCCAATTTTGAGTTCTTCTCGAGCATGATTCGGCATTTCCGCGTCAGTGTCAGCGATCGGTACCCCGTCAAGATGGACAAATGGCGAGAAGTTGGGATATTTGAAGCTGCCAACTCGCGCGACATCCAGGCCTTCCTCGTAGAAAACCCCCAGATCTGGGCCAAGTATATCAGGATCGAGTTCCTGACGCACTACGGGAACGAGTACTACTGTCCTGTGTCTTTGCTCCGGGTCCATGGCTCGAGGATGCTTGATTCCTGGAAAGACAGTGAGACTGGCCGAGAAGATGAGGCGGTCGAGGAGGAAGAGGAGCATCAAAGGCAGGAAGAGGAAGTCGCCCCCATTCCTACAACTACTGTTTCTCCACCACTCGCAGTAGTTGAAACCAACACCTCACAGACTAGGGACGATGATGAGGTTACTCCAGCTCACGCGCCGACATCCCTGCCGCCTTCAGACGAAGGCCCCTTCTACCATTGGACGGCGACATGCGCCGCTTCTCCGGCCTCCGTGGCTGATGGCAGTATGGCGGATTCAGGCTCTAGCCCAACTGGCGAAGCAGTCAAACGCCAGAGTAAGGACGGCGGCGCCCTCGACGCAGATCCTGCGGCGTCTGCACATCTGAGATCAAACGCCACCCAAGCTCGCGATGCCTCCACTGCTCCGCCGTCGAAGCAGACCAATTCTACCAAACCCGCCGCTGATACTGTGCAACCCTCACCAGACTCCGCAGACGCCACAGGAACAACCTCGGGGACAACCTCAGGAACAGGAAAATCTCGAAGCGGCGGAACCGCAAGCGCCTCCGCTCCCACGCCAACCGTCCAAGCAAGCTTCTTCAACTCCATCACCAAGCGTCTGCAGCAGGTCGAGGCCAACCTCACACTGTCGCTCAAGTACGTCGAGGACCAGTCGCGGCTCATGCAGGAGGCCCTCCAGAAGACGGAGCAGAAGCAGGTATCCAAGCTCACCCGCTTTTTGGGGGACCTCAACCACACCGTGCTCGCCGAGATGCGCAATGTGCGCGACCAGTATGAGCAGATCTGGCAGTCTACCGTGCTGGCCCTCGAAAGTCAGCGAGAGCAGTCTGAGCGTGATATCGTAGCCTTGAGTACAAGGCTCAACCTACTAGCCGATGAGGTTGTCTTTCAGAAGCGTATGGCGATCGTCCAGGCCATCCTCCTGCTCTCCTGCCTCTTCCTCGTCATCTTCTCCCGCGGAGTCCCCATTCCTTACCTTGCCGCCCTGCAGGAACAAGCTGCCGGGTTCTCCTACGCCTCGCCCTCGCCATACCCCGATCACGGATCGCATGGCCTTTATAAACCTGACCCTAGCCTTCGAGCAGATGAGCAACCGTTGCCGAGTAATGTTACAGGGGCTAACGGCTCCTCATATGAAGCCGCACCAAACGTGCCAAGGAGACGGGTGCCGCACTCTTCGCCAGGGACGGCAGACTCCCTTCCACCACTTCGTGAAACAGCCTCAACAGAGCCTCCACGGCGGCACTCCTCGCTTACCACAGCAAATACTTACAGCGATGGCAAGCTCTCAGAAACTCACTTTCTAGACCAAGATTCACGGTTTCATTCTCTTCACCAATCGGCTGCCACACTTGGCTCGGCACGAAAGCCTCTCCCTTCTCTTCCTGAACATTCGGCGGCCACACAGGACTCTTAAGTCAGCAACATGCTCCAGGAGCGAGAACCAAGCGGCCAAGAATGCCGTCGATGCTCCATGGAGCTCTTTATGACGCTGCTGGAATAGATTCCAGCCTCATGGCAATGTACAAAAGCGTGTTTGGTGCTTTTATTGAATGAAATGTATATTAAAGTGCGAATGGACATGGCTTTTCCAGTCCTGCTACGTGTCTCTCATCTGACGTGAAAAGTCATGGCTTCTTCGAGCGGTATATAGCGAAGTGATTTGCCCGCAATGAGAGAAACGAAAGATCATGAAGAAAATGAGACAGAGAGAAAGAGAGAGAAGAAAATAAAAAAGAAAGAAAAAAAGAGAGAGAAAACAATCATCACGAATCGAATCAGTAAACTTCAATGATTTCGCAAAATAGTCGTGTCCTTTTGCCGACCAAGGGCAGTTAGTCAAAGCCTCACTCACTGCTAAGCCGTGCTGCCGTAAAGGTGCTGTATGGCGGTCTCATAGTCATACTCCTCAAGGGCCGCAAGGCGAGTGCCTCGGTCGTATTGAGATCGCCGGCGTCGCTGTTCGTCGCGAAAGTGCTGTCCGGCATTGGGTGTGAATAGGCCTAGTAGACTCAGCATGGTACACACATATAAGGTCAGAGTGCGCGTCTACTCACCGACATGCTCGGCATTCTCACAGCTCCGCTTCATCTTTGACTGATTGTCAGGCTCGGGAAACGGCTCCTCTTGTCCGGCAAGATCTGGCATTGGGCCATTCGAGGTATAATACAGCTGGCCCGCGTTAGCCATCCCTCATGGTTCAGTATATGAAGGGTAGAGATTGGAAGATGCCTACCTTGGGGCGATAATGAGGTGCCTCCAGCATCACAGAGCTGTTTCGAAACTTCTGCACTAGGCAGTCTTTTCCCTGAATGGCTGTATAGCTTGGTCAACATCAAGACGGCACCAAGTTCCGCTCAGAGAAACTTACTGGCATACGAAATCTCTGCCACCTTGTCGCTCTTGAAGCAGTTCCTACGCAAGGCGTTAGCATGGCGAAGAATTGAGAAGGGAGGTCGGATGACAGAACATACCAGCGTTGGTTTCCGCGAGCGTTGACAAACTTGTGTGTTCTCAGTTAGCACCCGTTGTTCCAAGGATCAATGCGACTAAACTTGTACTGACATCGATAATATCCAGAGGCTGCACACAACACGTTAGTAACTGGAAGCGTTGTATGTGGGGGGAAGGGGACTCACGTCTACAAAGTTGATGAATGCATATCCAACGCTATTCCCGACCGTTAGTTACTCGCGTGACATGTAATGGACGTCCGGTAGAAGTCACTTACTTGCAGTCGTTGGCAAAATCGATGCGAAGGTACATGAAATCATACTTTCCCCAGCTGGACTCGTCAACGATTCTCTTGAGCATGGCTTGGTCAACTTTGTTGGGAATGTTTCGAAGCATAATCTAGATGAGAGAAGAGACAAAAGTCAGCAAGATATCTGAGATACATCGCGGAAGACCTCACCGTAGTGCGAACGTCGATGCCATCACGGATGCGATTGATGTCAACGTGGTTGTGATGAGTCGTGGTGGTATGATACGTAGATCGGCTGACACGCATCGCATTCTGTCGACGGGCATCTGCTCTCTCAACACCCGAAAAGTTCCTAGAGGGACTATAATTGTTCTGGGCTGTGAGAGCTGGGGAGGGTGGCGTCTGATACACAGTTCCAAACATGGGGTACTGAGGAGTGAACGATGTCAGTGGGCTGCTAGAGCCGGCCTGGGCCGCCGGAAGGAAGGAATCCAGCATGTAGGGCATGGCAGGAGTGAACGGCGTCTGAAACATGAGCGGGTACATGGCAACCGGTGCATTGTAGTGCTGGTCACTCTGCCCAGCCTGGGACGAGTTGGGGCTCACAGGGCCAAGGCGCTGGTCGACATCATCTGCTCGCTTGTTGACACTCATACCCTCCATGGCTTCGGTGAGTCCCGAGGCAGAGAGACTTTCCATGTGGTATGCTGATGCAAAGATTTGGACTCCCTACGCAGTTGCAATGTTAATGTGGTTACTTGGGCAAGGTGGATGAGGACAACGAACCTCCGTGGAGATACCGCCGCTGCAAGCCTGTATGACAGGAAAGGCAGCAGTAGTGTCACAAAACTCTGCAACGGCCCTGAAGGAGCCATTGGGGAAGGTGGACAGCCGGACAAACGCAAACAAGCGGCCGTGTGACTGCAGAAACCGATGGGCCACTCCCATGGTCTGAACTGGGTCGACCATAGCTCCTGGCGGGACAGCGGCAAAGATTTGGATCTGGCCGGTGTGAGAAAGACCAGCTACAGGAGATGTATCAGCATCAAGATTAGTTTGGACGCTGAGGATCTGGCTCACCTGCGCTGTGGCCCATCTCTACGTGAGCGCCTGGAGTCTGGCCCACGCGAGTCGGGTTGGCAAAGGCAATCTTCCAGTCTTTGTCGGCTTGGTGAAGCTTCGCCTGTGCCGCACAAGCGTCTCTGATGTCTGTGAAGTACACAAAGACACCGGCGCTGTGAGTCTTGAGGCTTCTAACGCCATAAGTAGGACTGCCATCCTTTCCCAGATCCTGCGTTTGTCAGTGATTGCGATTTGTGAGAGGGATCCCTGGCAAACGTACCGTCAAAAGAGCCTCCACCTCCCGTGCGGAAACCTGAGCGGGCGACGATATGAAGAGGATCCTCGACAAGCCCATATCGGTACTCAAGGCAGCGGAGAGGTCTCCAGCGGGCAAGCGCACATAGGTGTTACCGACAAAAGGGCTGAACGCCGAGGCCGTGGGAGACAGCCTCGTGCCGACGCCCTGGATGGAGCTGATGAAGGGATCCTTATCCAGGTGCGACACCGCATTGCGAAAGCTGCCGGCAGGGAGCCTCGCCGGCGACGTGGTGGCTACAGCTGAGCGGGCGAAGCTCTTGAGCAGGCTGGACTGTGAGCCTTCATCTGGGGTCAGAGAGGTCAGTCGAGTGTCGGGCGTTCCCTTGAAGGACTCGGCGCCTCCGCTCGACGACCGAGGGGACGACGGATTGTCAGCTTGGTGCGCCATCGCAGAGGATACGGAACCGGTGCGTGATGATGGTGAATGCGATGAAGATGAGCTGGTGCTGCCTGGAAGTGAAGTAAGCCTCTGCGTCCGGAGTCAGAGAGAGGGAAACCCAGAATAGCTGCGATTCTTCCCAGACTGATGGATGTGCAGCGGTAAAGAAGACCAGCCTGAAGACGCAAGCGCTCGCTGCAGAAGATAGAGAGATACCTAAGTATGGACTTGATAACTTGCCCCGCGAGAGTGAGTGGGAAGAGATGATCGGGGCAAAGCTTCTTCTGAGAATGGGCTCACTTTGATGCACCTGGATAGCTGCTGCCGTGAATGTTCAGGAGGAAAACTTGCTTAGTGTTGCTCTTGCCCCCTCGTGCACTTTCCTTCCGAATGACCCTCTGCTGAGAAGGGGCAGGTGCGGGCCCTCAAGGTTGGAAGTCGCATACTGCCACCTGGTGGCACTGCCGCACCTTTCGCTCCTGCCAAACGGCCCGCGTTGAACTCGCTCGTCATTCGAGCCACTCAAAGGCAGTTTCGTGCTCGCCTGATCGGCTGGGAGGCGGTGCCGGAACGATGCAGGAGCGCGACTGCCCCCTATTCATGGCCGAATGATATCTGCCAGCCGTGGTTTCCATGAGAATATGAAGCAAACAAGTACCTAGCATGAGCTTCAGCTTGAGATTGGAGATGATGATCAAACGACCTTCAGCTTGGCAGAGAATGAAAAGAGAGGAGGATATAAAGGGAGAATACCTAGGCCTCCCCAGCGTATTCAGATACCGAGTGCTTGTAGTCAATCGGATCGCCAGTTCATCAGAACCAGGTGAGCCATAGCCCGCAATCAATATGATATTATCCCAGGACCGTCAATACTGATAAAATACTACAGGACTCCATGCTTGCTTCCCTGTGATCCAAACTATAGGTATACCCAATTCCATTCCATGCCTGTATGCGCCAGTGATTTTTCATGCAACGTTTCGTTTTCGAAAATCGGTTCAGTAACATCTGTCGTGTTTTATGTCTACTTGAGGAGGGCCGTACGTCGACAATCATCATAGAGGCCTCGAGCCTAGACTTGCGCTCTCCTTCGGCGGCCTCTGCTTGGGCCATCGGGGCGTTGTGCTAACACGTCCCTTAATAAGGGGTCATCTTTACTCTTGTCCACGTGGTGAACTCGGACATGTCTGCGATGAACGAAAGGTCAATATCAACCGATCCTATCACGCCATATCCCGCATGAGAGCACTAGGCGTAGGACGTTGAGGTTCACGCCTGGCCTGTCTCATGGCACAGTATGGGTACTTGAGACACAGAACAATGTGCGAGAGGCTTACCTTTGTAAATTGTCTGGCCGGGGGTATTTGTGTTCCCTGTCTGCGCAGAAAGGACAGACGTATCCGGGAGAATCGTGGACCAGGCCATGCCGAATCATCTCATTCTTCCGCTTGAACCCCTTTCCACCTTCCGCACGAGGGCATCCACGCACGGGGCAGTAGTGTGGACGGGCTGAAGAATGCACATTAGCGTGAGAGTTGAGAAGGTACTGCGTTTGGAACGGCGGAGCGGTACACCCCTCGAACGTGCAACTGTAGCTGCCGACCTGAGGGTGGGTGATCCCATCGATGCTCATGCGATCCGCTACGGACGCCACGGCAGCTGGCGAGGCCATGGTGTAGCTGGACTGAAGGGGTTTGCCGGAGGCGTTGCTGCTTGCATAGTCGACGGAGGAGCGATGCATGGAACCATTGGAAGCGAATTTGTCAGGACTGGAGGCGGGAAGGGAGTTGGGAGATGGAAAGCTGCGCTGATACGCCTCGCTGGGAGAAATTGGGTGCGACGCATGGCTGGCGGCAGAAATGGACGAGAAGCGCGGAACACCTACGGTTGGAGACAGAGAATAAGGTCGCGCATCGCCGCCGGTGTGACGCCTCGGCAGGTCTCGGCTGTCGCTGGGCGTCGGCATGTCGGTCGCGACATGATGATGGGGTCTATCGTTCAGAGTGTCGCCCAGGGTTTTTTGTATGGAGGGCAGGATCGGCCCGTTGGCGCCGTCGCGCTTGGGCGAGTCTAGCAAAGGGGGCAGCAACTCGCTGGAGCTGGGCGACAGCAGCGCTCGCGATGCGCTGTCTGCCGTGGCGAGACGACCGCCCAAGAGCGGCGGGGTTTGAACGTGGCGACTGGGGCTAGAGACGGCATCGTCATGAATCGAGAGATTGTAGGTTGAGGCTGACAGATCAACGCTGGGCTTATCCTCCCCATGGAAGAGTCCGACGTCCCCGCCCGCGGCTAGGGCATCGGCGGCAACGGCCCGCAGACTATTATGATGGCCCGTGGCAGCGGCAGCGGCAGTGACGACATGCGGCCGTGGTATGATGTCGGCGCCAGCCAAGGGGTCGGCGTTGGTGTCTCGCGACGGGCTCTTTTGCGGAGAGGCGTCGTCGTCGGAGAGCTCAAAGGGGTCGTCGCTGCCAGGCAATGCCAGCTGGCCAGCAGCCTGGGCTACGTCTTGGTGGCGGTGGCCGCCGAGATAAGAGACGAGGACGGCATCACCACCCACGGGCACGATCTTTGACCGATTAGACTTGGAGAATCCGTCGATGGGAGGAGGGCTGAAACTGACTTGAGCGCGTGGTATGTCCGGAGGAGGGCTCTCTGTGAGTTCGAGTTTGGGATGCACTGCTTTCATCTGAGGAGTGCCTGGTGAAGGAGCCTCATCTGGATCGTAGGGGACAGAATCTAGCTGCATCGAGCGTTCCTGGCATTGATCTTGGTGCGGGTGTATTCGGTGCGGCGCCGTGTTCATACTTTGGTTGTCCAAGAAGTCATCGGTCAGCTCTCCATGGCAACCTTGGACATGCGGGGGGGCCTATGGCAACGCTGTGGTGTGGTCGACAGAGACGCTCTTTTTTCCTTCTCTGTTGCTGCTCGGGGAGCTGAGCCGACGGCGTTGCAACACACGAAGTTGGCCCGCCCTCTCCTCTTCTCCCTCTCCTGCTCGTGGGTCTGGCCTTTGTCCTTTCGTCTTCTCGTTCTGCTCCTCTGTTTTGTCTTTCTCTTCTGTCGATTGATATCTCGGAAAAGCCGCTTGGCTGGAACGACGCGTGTCCGGCGGCGGGCGGATTGAAGGGGGATCGCAACGGTCCTCTAAAGCGTCTCTACGGATCCTTTGTCCCTCGGATTCCTTCCAGCCTTTCCCAATTGTGCTGTGCTGGGAACCTGTCACCCCCCGGCAAGCAGCTTATGCGCGGTTTGTTCTTTGCGCAGAGGCACGTGAAGCTGGCCGGGTATTAACTCTTAATAGGCACCAAGCTTGCCTGTTGGAGACAGGGCCGGTATTCAAAGCTATGGGGAGGCTGCGGTGGGACAGGAACACGGCAACTTGGGGGCCAGAGGACGCCAAAAGGGCGGCAAGGAGACAATGCGGTGCAATAACCCGATAGCAAGCGGCCTCAATGAAATGCGACAACGGCAAGGCGGATGGAGGGCTTCGCTCGAGCTGGATCGGTTCAAGCAACAGGCGAGCAGCGATCTATTACTGTCGATGGGCAGAGTCTCAGCCGACAGTGTTGAATAATGGCGGGGGATGGGCAATTAGGCGGCAAGTGGGTGTTAGCGCATACCGGGAGGGCAGAGAGACGTCTGAGGTCGCATTCGAGCCAGGGACGGACGGACGGACGGATACCCGTGGCGGTCGCCGTCGTCTGTGATGGATGGCTGTGTGTGATGGACTGCGAGACTGCGAGATGGCCCACGCTATGAAGCCCGGAGGTTCTGTCTGAAGTATAGGGAGGTAGGGTATGAGCTCGATAGCGGAAGAGACGCAAGAAGAGGGTGGCTGTCGGGGTCAATTGAGAGCAAAGCACGTTGCTGGATGCAGTCAGAAGGGCCAGATTCGGGTAGCAAAAGACACCAAAAGGCACGGGGCTCGAGAGGAGGAGGGGGGAAGAGGCTTGTCATACCTATTACTTTCCAGACAAGACAGGACTGGGCAGCTGAACTGCGGTCGACACAGGACAGACAAGCTGCTGCTGCTGCTGCGGCGGCGGCGCCATTGGTGGTGCTGCTCCAGGTCCCAGCACAGCGTCGACAGCTGCCACCAGTCAGGTACACACACAGCTTTTGACAGACAGGATATGCTGGCGAGTCTTGCCCGTCAGCTCATCGGTCGGTCAGTGTGTACAGCAGAGGCGCGAGGGTGCTGTACAGCCACGATGAGCCATGAGACAACCAGGCCCAATCAGTCGCTAGTGCAAATCGACGCATCAAGCGATTGTGATAAGGTGTGGTGCCACGATTGCAGTGCCAGCATGTAAGTAATAAACGTTGACGATGCTGAGATTACCCTACCTAGCTTTGGGGCCTGATGCATACCTAAGGTACCTTATAGTGTATCTGTACCTGGCTGCGCCTGTCTACCTAAGGTAAGGTACTACTACCTTAATACCCTTGAAGGTATGCTGGTACGGGATGCTGGGGTTGTCTTGGGTGTTAACCCTGATGGGCGAGAGTGTTGTTATCAGGGAAGACGTTGGGATCGATCGATGCTACCTAGGAAGTGCCTAGTAGTACTGTACATACATGGCACAAGCGGCAAGATGCGGCGACATCACACACAGGTGGGCTTTTGACGGGATATCAAAGGATGGGAGGCAGGGGGGTGTTTCTGGTTGCTGCAACAGAGGTAGCCAAGGTAGCGTGTAGGTATGTAGCCATAGGTACCTACCTTGCCATCCATACCTACACCATACCTAGGTACATCATGGCTACCTTACCTAACCTTACCTTAGGTATATCAATTCGTTTGGGCGCAATGGCAACGATAGAAATGCCGGACCAACTGCCAGCAGTTCCAGTTGCTTCAAACGAAACAATACCATTGATTCACTACACCCAGAGTCACGACGTCTATCCTGTACTGTATAGATAGACCGGATACCATCATAACATGGCATTCCTCGTTAACCGTCCGCCGACCTCGGTTAACAGCCAACGGATCCACGCCCGCGCGGTTCCGCATCAAACGACTCGAGCAGATCCAGCAGCCGAGGTCTATCTAATCGTGGCATCCTGAACCGGAGTGACATAACCAAGAAAAACAGAGAAAAACCCTGGGACAACTGCTATGGAGTTGATTTTCTTAGCTTGTGCTTGATCCTACTATACTCCATATTTTTTTGGGGGATATCATATCGTCGTTGCTATTTTCCTTCGCCTTGTTGCGGGCCCTCAAGTCCAGCTTCACTTCACAGTACTAGAACGGTTCTCAGAACCACTACCTACCTTACTCTGCATCGCACGTGAAGGGGGCAGGGAACAAAGCACATGCTTCTCCAGCTCTAACTCGTCGCCGCTCCTCCAAACAATGGCCCAGTCCAAGCCTGCCATTTCGCCCTGGGGAGGCGCCGTCGCCGGCGCAACGGGAGCCGTCATCGCAAACGCCCTGGTCTATCCTCTCGACATGTAAGTCAAGGCCCCCCTCTCGGAACTCGAGACTCGAGACTCTCTCTCTCTCAAACGATAAGGACCGCCAATTGACGTGTTATCCGTGTGTTTGCGACGCCTCCAGCGTAAAGACCCGCCTGCAAGTCCAGGTGCGCGACAACAACAGCGACAAGACCTCGACCGAAGCCGGCGAATCGCAACACTACACCTCGACATGGAACGCCATCTCGCGCATCATGGCCGAGGAAGGCATCCAGGGCCTCTACGCCGGCATGAACGGCTCCCTGGTGGGCGTCGCGTCCACCAACTTTGCCTACTTCTACTGGTACACCGTCGCCCGGACGCTCTACACAAAGTCGGCCGGTCCCTCGGCGGCGGCGCCCTCGACGGCGATCGAGCTCTCCCTGGGCGCCGCTGCCGGCGCGCTGGCGCAGCTCTTCACCATTCCCGTCGCCGTCGTCACGACGCGCCAGCAGACCGCCTCCAAGGCTGATAGGAAGGGCCTCATCGCGACGGCCCAGGAGGTCATCGAGGGGCCCGACGGCGTCAGTGGGCTCTGGAGGGGCCTCAAGGCCAGTCTTGTCCTGGTTGTGAATCCCGCAATCACATACGGTGCCTATGAGCGATTAAAGACCATCTTCTTCCCTGGCAAGACGAAGCTGAAGCCCTGGGAGGCTTTCCGTAAGTTGCATTGTCTCCAACCGTATTGCCTGACCGTCAAACTGCCTCTAACAATTTTTCCCAGTCCTGGGCGCCATGTCCAAAGCTCTAGCCACGATAGCCACGCAGCCCCTTATTGTTGCCAAAGTCGGCTTGCAGTCGAAACCGCCTCCCGCACGAAACGGAAAGCCCTTTGGCAGCTTCGTCGAGGTGATGCGGTTCATCATCCAGCATGAAGGCGTCCGGGGCCTCTTCAAGGGCATGGGCCCCCAGATCCTGAAAGGTCTGCTCGTCCAAGGCATCTTGATGATGACCAAGGAAAAGTAAGAACACCCTCCCCCGAGACTCCTCTGCCCGTGACCTGACTTCCCTAATCCATGTTCGATAGGGTCGAATTGCTATTTGTATTACTATTGCGATATCTGAAATCGCTCAGCTTGTCCAGAGCGCGCAGTGCCATCGCAGCATCATCAGCAGCCGCGGACCTGGCAGCCAATGCGGCAAAGATAACGCCCCTTGTCAAAAGCTAAGAGGGGAATGTTTGCATATAAGTAATCAGTTTTGTATAATGAAACAATGTTGCAATTACATTTCTACCTTAGGTAGTACTGTATGTTTGTATAGGTATCGCATGCAGATTCTCGGCTTGTCTTCAACTAACGAATAAAGACCCATGCATCCAAGATATCAGCTCATTGCCGTGGAAGGGCATAATCGACCACGCTCAACCGGTGTCACAATGAAACTACACGCCCCAGGCTTCCCACTCGCCAATTTGAATGGGGGAGTCGCTAAAGACGTCCCCGGAAAGCTCCTGAATCGTCCGATGCTCCCGCAAACTCTCTATAACAAGGTATCTCGGCCCACGACTCGTGCTCGAGGGCTCTATGTCGAACTGAGTCGTTTGAATGATCGGTCCGGGGTCTCCTAAGCCCGCTCTGGACTCGGCTAGAACCCGCGGCTCCGAGCTTGGGACATCCAGCATAGATATACGAACCATTACGGCTGGCAGGGAGCGTGTGTCGTGGTAAACGTTCTCTGGCGGAGGTGCGACGCTTCGAACGGAAATGAAAGCTCGAGTAACCCAGGACGCACTGATAGAGGCCCTCCAACGTTGCCCTTCTCCCCCCAAAGTAAGTGGCCGTAGAGGTGTCCGCAACTTTCCCGCCGTATCAGCCGGTATAGGCTGCAGAGTGATCGGCGTCATGGAGCCAATTCGTAGCGAGAAATCGGCCATCTGCTGTGCTTCAAATGTCGAACAGACCAAGGTGTAATCTCCAGCCTCCAACGTGGCGAGTTCGGCAATGGCACAGCCACGGCGATACTCGCCCGAGGACACGACCAAGTCTTTCGCCTTGACGGTATGTGCGCGTTTGCCTCGAGCCCAGATCAAGTCAACGTGTACATGGATATCGCGGTTGCCTGTAGCCAACAAGATGGACACTGGGGTAGCGCGGGGGACCGAAAGCTTGTACTGGGGGTTTAGAAAGTAGGTCGTGCATGATGGGTTCCCCCCCGCTGTCCGTCTGTTCCAGGCACCTCGTTGCTCCGTAAAGTGCGTCATCTTCTCTTCCGCCTCCTTGACTTGGACCGCGCTGTTTGAGAAAATGTAAAGGGAGAAGGTGTAGCTGGGTAAAGGCAACGCCTGCTGGTCAACAACGACGGTGTACGCTTTACCAGGCCTGCTCTCGATTCGTGCGAGCGTCTGTGGAGAGTCGACGTATGGCCCGCGGTATGTCGATCCGTCACCAACCTGCACCCTTTGGCCTTGCCGGTCAAAGACAAGTATACTCATAAACCCAAGTTGACTGGACACGGCAGCCAGAGTACCGGATTTTTGGCGGGCGATCTCGAGCTCGGCATCTTTGAAGTGACGGCTCAGCAAGATCCAGATCACTCCCCCTGTAGGTGAGCTTACTGAGAATTGCGGGTTCCGCACCAACGACGCCGCAAAATCTGTCGTAGGGATTTCCCAAGCAAAATGACGCTCTTGGCGATGAGTAAACAGAGCCGGGTTCCAGTTGAGATACATGGATTCGAAGTGCTGAGCTATATCCTCAATGGCCATCCAGAGGGTGCCTGCGGAGAGTGATTCAACATCGCCATCACTTGCCTCAGATGACGAGTCCAACTTGGTCCCGTCGGAGCCGTGAACAGCAGACCAACCCTGTCCCTTCCATGTCTGACTGTGCGACCAAGGGTTTTTGACGAGGAATCTGCGGTTCGAGGGATCTAGATCCTGCACAGCATAGTCATGCTCTCCTACGAGTCCCATGAAATTCTCCTCTTCTGCAGAGACGTGGCCTGTGCCAAGTGTGATGACGACATCCCCAGTGTCGTAAGCTGTCTTGATCCTGTTCCATGTCTCGTGTACGTCAAAGTCCTCCCTGTCTCGTACTATGTCATTAGATGGGCTCTTGAACATGTTCCAAGGGGATCAATCAGCCCGTACCTTTGAAGGAACAATTGCTCGGGGATCCAGCCGGTGAGGACCCAGAGATCGGTTCCCGAGTTGCTCCCAGGAAAGTCATAGCCGCCTCGTACTTTGAGGTAGGCCTTTTCAAGCAAAGCCGGCCATATCAACCGCGGATTGTGCCGATTCGTGACAAAGAGAGCTCGATCAGTCCCCGAAGCGGGAAGCCTGTCGTCTATGGTGACCCGTCGAGCGCAACCGTTGAAGTTCAGCCGAAAGATATATTTCCCAGAAGGAGAGAGCTTAGGCTGTCCTCTTGCGTGGTCAAACGGATGCATTATCTTTGAGAGGATCTTTGGTACTGCGTTAATCCTAGCCATCATTCGAGTACGATGCACGCTTGACGTACTGCATGTTTTCCAGTCCAGACCCTCGCGGCAGCGGAAATACTAGCGACGACCGAACAGTCAGTCGTTATATCTTGCGCCAAGTCGAAGCGCGTGCCTTGGGTCATGAGGATATCATCTTGGCCGGCGGCGAAGGGTCCGAACAGCTCGTGTGGCCTTTGCCATGCCGAAAAGTTGGCCAGTTGGGTCTCGGAAAGCGGAAATGCAGTGTCGTCGCTAGCCCTCGCGTTAGAATGCGGCCGCCCAAATCCGTCTCTCTAACTGCATGTGTGGGATCGTAGAGGCTCACACGTATGGCGCCCGATCGGGTCCCAGCTGGAACTGCGTGTCTGGCGGATCGTCACTCCAAGGGGGATAGTAGCTTCCGTGGAGTCGTGAGGCGCCGCGCAGTATCTCGAGGCCGTCTGTGGGTGGTGACGCCGGCGAGGCCGTCAGCTGCACTTTGAGCTGTTCGGCGTGTGCAATGAGCTGCTGGCATCTGCGGCGAAGTCGGGCTGCATCGTCTTTGGCAATCCCCTTTTCCGCAGCAGCTCGCATGTACAGCTCGGCCGCTTGTATGGCATAGTCCAAGGCTTTTTGGCCGGTTGATGTTGCGAGCAGAGACTCAACGTCCTGGAAACGAGTCAATTGTCAGCAAACAACTTGACTCTTGTATCCCCCTGGGAGCCTTTGAAGGAAGCTCACCTTTGCCCTCCTCTCCATGCCTTAGGAAAGTGGCATCATGGCATCACACAGAGAACCCGTTGATCGGTAGCAGTGACAACACGCCGGGCAGAGAAGACGAGGCCTCGAGTGGGTTTGAGCGAGTATGCACCTTGACGGATCTGGCTGCTACCTAACGACCAGCACCATTCGTGTGCCGTGGGCAAGTACAAGTGCAAATAGAATGAGAGTGGTATAGATCCAGAGCTGAAAGGGAGGCCCATTAATAGTAACACGAAGCTTTGAGGTTACGAAACAGAGGCGCAGCAGCTCAGCACTCTGTGGCCCCATATTAGACGGCTCATGACTAATACCGACCGCTCAGGACAGGACAGCCGGAGGACAAACCATCAATCGGGGCTTGGATATTCCTACACAAATAGCTCTACGTCCTATTCTATACCAGCTCGTCTACCTCGTCTCTAAAATCTGCGTGAAGCTGAGATAAGATGTAGAAAGGCTTCATGGCCTTTGGCGGTCGCGTTGAGCTACCTCCGGAGAGCTCCAGACATCCAAGCGTGGTCTCGCAGCTAGTGTCGGCAGTGCTTATTGACATTTGGAAGCTCGCCATCTTCTTTTGCTTCTTCAAGGCAAAGGCTCCTACTTCTCGCCCTGCGCGATACGAAATGATCCGGCCCGACCTTCTTCTCTGTGAGATCAAGCTCACTTCGTCACTGGTCTCCGAGCAAGTCTCGTCTTCCGCATCGATAAGCTTCGCAGATGTCATTGTAATGCCTTCACCTTGGCCTCGGCGAGAGCTTTGCTTGGGGCTGGGCAGCACCCATTCGCTAATTCCCTCTTCCCATCGCCATCCCGAGAAGATGGTGCTGAATTTTGCGTTCCTCGGCGTGATGCCAGAGAGTCTCTCCGCAAAGGTTAGGTCACGGAGATCCTCGGTTTTCTGAGCAAGCATAAAGGCAACATCTTTCCGGAGTCCGTGGCCGAACCACTCGGGTAGCTTTCGACGAGCCAGGTTCGAACAGACGTCGGAGAGGAGTTCTTGACTCGAGGCTGCGCTGCTGCGCCGGCGACATTGAATGATGGCACACAAGAGGATGACTGTATGCTGATATTGGGCGCCATTATTGGAAACTGCGTCGATTCTATGAGCCATGGTCTCGAACTCCTCTGAAACTCGTCTTTTGAAAGCTGGACTCGCCAAGTCGGACTGCGCCACTGCGAGGTAGCGTGCAAAGACGAGCAGAAAGGAGGCAGTGTCTGGAGGGCTTTTACGGCTCCTATACCGTGAAATAAGTGAGATACTGCATTCGAGCACATAGACCAACCGTCTCCACGCTCCCTTTCGTTGCGCCCGCTCTCCTAGAATGATTTGGGCCTCCAAAGTCGACGCTGCGACCGCCAAACCAGCCGCAACGCGGATGAGAGTCTGTTCAATAGCACAGCAGTCGCTGGGTTTGGGTCGGTTGCCCCGAGCGAGGGTCCATATAGCGATACACATGAATTCAACAATGTGTGGCTTCGCGTTTCCAGAGGTTAAGCCCTCGAGGCTGGAGATCCAGAAACCAGAGAAAGCTCGTGAGGAAATTGAGGCTGATGAGAGTAGTCCCTTGTTGATCAAGCCAGAAATGCACTCAAAGACGGGACCAGGTATCTTTCTTCCCTTCAAGGCATCCAAAAGCACCAATACGGTTGAGCGTTCCCTACTCTCGCTGACGTGGATCGTTCTGGGTCGGAGCTCGGTAGCTCGGTGTCTACTAGTCGAGGCCGCCAGCTGAGCAGCCTCCTGACTGCCGTTCAGATGGACGCAGAGCCGCACGAGGAGGCTGCAGAATTCTGGTCTGAAGAGTCCATCAGCGATGGCATTGGACAGCAGGTGTGTAGCTTGAGAGCGAACCACAAGCCTCAATGGGCGCCATCCAGAACTAGGCGAACCCAGAGCTTCCAGTTGTTCAAACAGATCCGAAGCTGCATCAGAGATGCCCCATATCGACTTAACACCACTATCTTTCAGTTGTTGCCGATCCCACGCATCTATATCCGCGATGCAGTCTGGGATTTTGCGCAAGCACATGGCAAGTAATGACTTGCCGCGGGCATGCTTGCCTTGGAGGGCCGTGGAGTGTAACAATCGGTTCAGCCAGTGGAATATCGCTTCGTAGATGCGATGTATGTCGCTGGGGACATGCCGCCGGATGGAATTCAATTCGTCAGCTAGCTCAGGCGGGACAGAGTCCAGTAAGCCATATTCGATCTCGACGTTCTTCGCCGGCGTGTCGATTTGGTCTCGAATCTTGCGCCACACGGGCGTACGGAAGTCGATTGTCTCGGATGTCGGCGACAGGCTTCCTAGCTTCATGGCGCCCAAGGTACGGACTGGCCGCGGAGGAGTTGTCGCCGACTTGTCGGGCGCAGGAGCCGCTCGCTTCGTCCTCTGGCCGTACGTGCAGCGGACGCGCTTCACCGTCGAATCTTGACCATGGTCCGAAGCTCGTTTGGATCTGGTCGGCAGCGCGGGGTGGTCATCTGATATCAGGCGTCGAAGGCTGGCCAGGCGAGACTGAAGCTGGCGAAGCAGGCGTTGGCACCGAGCGGCGGTCCATGGCTGCGAGCCGTCCAGATCCGTGCCTCTCGGCCCCGAGGATGATCGCGACTTGGTGCCAAGGCGTTGGGATGAAGGCACAGCTTGCGCCGACGGATCCATATAAGACAGATAACAAGAAGAAGCGACTCTCCAAAAAAGAAAAACAAGATAATACTGATAAGCTTTACCAAGTAAAGAAACAGGAAGATGAAAACGATATCAAGCCATTGTCTTTCACAGCATCTCGGGCATGTCGTGCGTGTGTCAATGAGTGACGCTTCGCACCAGAGGATAAAAGAAGCACAAGCCCTCTGTTTACTTTCTTCCCGTTTCGCTCTAGAGCCGAATGCGCGGGTCCATAACTTGTGGGGTACCAGCCCAAGCAGCCGCACGCCTGTGAAAAGCGTAGCCGAAGCATGTACTGCCCATGTACCCCGCAGCTCCGAATTGCCGGACCGTTGCCAAATTTTTTTCTTTTTTGTGCCGGCCGGCCTGCAGACTGACTGACTCTTTTGCAAACCAATTCCTCAGGACGTCCCAGTCATTCCCGCCCAATTCTTAAATGACTGGTTTCTCTCTTCTCTCTCGAGTACCTCGTCGTTAACCCGTGCCCGCTTTCTCGACTGTCCCCCCCTTGTACGACAATGGCGGCCGAAGCACAAGCAGCTGCGTCTCCCTCTCCAGGTAAAGAGGCCCCGAGTCTTACACGGTCATTGTCGACAAACCAGCTGACGATGCACCCGTCACATCCCTGTAGCCCATGCTGTCGACGAGACTCCCGACAACGCCATGTCTGCTCCCGAGAAGGCCGTGACCGAAGGGGAGGCCGAGGCCGACGCCGAGGCAGATGCCGATGCTGCAGCTGAAGGTAATGGTGCTCTGCTGTCGAGGTGTGCGCTTGGGGTTGTGCTCGTTATCTGACATTGGGATGCTGTCATATAGCTATCTTGAACCTCACAATCGTCCTTCCCGATCCCGAGGCTGAAAAGCTGCATATCATGGTGGGCATTGGACCCGTTCTGGCCATTTCTAAATCATCACAACTTCTATTGACACGGCTTTTAGGTATCGTCTCAGGAGCAAGTTCACGAGGTTCGACAGTCCATCATCGATCTGCCCGCGGCCTTCCAGTATACCTGCTTCCACCTCGAGTTCCAAGGCCAGAAGATCAATGACTACATACCATTGGCCGAGATCCCGGATCTTGGCACCGAGCCGGAATTTCGCCTGGTGCCGGACCCGTACACCGAGAAGGAGGCCCGTATCCATCTGGTGAGGATTCGGGAGCTCATCGGCGCCGCGGGCAACCGCTCCGATGCCGCACATGGCATCCTGCCCGGCCTGTCGCTGTACGAGTCCGTGACCAAGAAGCTGTCGACTGAGGCTGAGGGCAGCGAGGAACAGCCTCTTGCCAAGGACTATGACTTCCAAGCCACCCCCTCGATTACCGGCCTTGTCCCCGAGCCCCTTGAGCCGGCGCCCAAGACAGTCAAGATGCTGGCTCTCTCATCGTGGAACCCTCCGCCATGCCATTTGCAGCAGCGCGGGCACCTGCTCTACCTTGTCGTAACCACCAACGAGGGAGAGCAGTTCCAGGTCACGGCGCACGTGTCTGGCTTCTTTGTGAACAAGTCCTCCAACGCCAAGTTCGACCCCTTCCCGCGTCCTGCTCCCAAGGGGCAGTCTTCCCACTCCCTGCTGAAGCTCATTGAGCTGCTCTCGCCCTCCTTTTCCAGCTCCTTCGAGAGCCTTCAGGAATACAACAGCAAGAGGGATCCGCTGGCTACGTTCCAGATCACCAACGCAATTCCCAACTCACCCTGGGCTGTGCCACCCCCTACCTCGGCTCTTTGCACACACACTCCCGATGTCACGAGGCCGCAGGAGACGTATCTCCTCGCGGGCGTAGACAACACAGATACTTTGCGCGATTGGAATGAGGAGTTCCAGTCGGCCAAGGAGCTGCCGAAAGAGAGCGTTCAAGACCGAGTCTTCCGTGAGCGCCTGACTTCGAAGCTCTTTGCAGACTACAACGACGCTGCCGTCAAGGGTGCCGTGTTGATCGCCCACGGAGACATCGCGCCCCTCAACCCAACAGAGACCAGAGATGCGCAGATCTTCGTCTACAACAACATCTTCTACTCTTTCGGAGCTGACGGCGTTGGCACCTTTACCTCCGAAGGCGGCGATGAGGCGGCGAGGGTTGCCACTGGCAAGGATGTCGCAGGTGTGCAGCTGGTCAACCAACTGGACATTGACGGCCTCTTCACGCCCGCCACTGTGGTTGTTGACTACTTGGGCAAGCGCATTGTCGGCCAGAGCATTGTTCCTGGCATCTTCAAGCAGCGCGAGCCTGGTGAGCACCAGATCGACTATG